GTCGCCGCGCCTACCGCCGTGGACTGGATCGTCGTGCCGTCGCCAGATGTGGTCGTCGGAGGAAGGCTCGCCGGTGATGGTCGTGAGGCAGCCCTAGTGGAGGAAAAGGCCAACACGTGAAGATGGGGGAAAAGGCTAGGGTTTTCTTTCTTTTTTTTTCTTTATAACTTTTTGTTTTAATTTCCAAATAGCTAGGGTTTTGGGCATTTGATAAATCCACACAAGGCCCCTTCTTTGGATAAGTTTTGGGCTTCTAAGAAGGTCCACTAACTAATAAATTGTTTGAAAGAAAACACGACCCATGAACTCTAAAAGATTACGAATGCAGACCTCACCTCCCTATACTTAATTAGTTCCACTAATATAATTAAGCAATCGGCCCAACGACCCAGGCAAGTGCCACGGCAACCCACTCACAGTCAGCAACCATTAAATACATACATAAAACCAATAACTCACAACAATTACTATAGTAATTTAAAAGAACCGACACAAAGTAATTAGATAAATTTAAAATTATCTCTAAGAAGAAACCCCCGGGACTCGAGGGTAACCTGACCTGAGTAACGTAGGGCCGGACCTGAGTAACGCGGGGCGTTACAAAAACTAAGAAGAAAATTGGTTTTCGTGTTCGTAGACGAAATACCAAGATCCTTTTGTTTTTATTTCCCTTATCCTTTTTAGTATCAATCTGGGTCTTTTTAAAAAACTTTCCTTTTCTTCTTTAGTTTTTGTTTTGTCATCTATTATAACTAGAGATAGATAAATCTTTGAGTGATGTACACAAATGTAGTGAGTCGTGAGTAATTCTTCAAGTGGAGAGAATTTGAGTGAGATCTCAATACATGTATATCCTTTAGAGAGTTTGAAAGACTTGTAGAGTAATTCATGAACGATTTTTCTAGGAAGGGAAAACTGAGAGAAATCATTATAAAAAGCTTCTAAACTCTTGGGAGATTCTCCTTAGCATTTTAGTATAACTTGAAATGGTAGTAGAGAACTAGACGTAGCCCATATTAGGCAAACTAATATAAATCCATTGTTAATTTTTCTCTTCCCATTTAATTTATCGTTATTGTTGCTTAGAATTCTTAGGTTAGTTTATCTATCTTTTAATTTGTAAGTTCCAATTCGATTTATATCATTTCTTATAATTGGAATCAAGACCTAATTTAGGATTAACTAACAAAATTAATCTACTTTTGTAATTGAGACAATTTTAGTTTACTATTTTTATTCCCAAACAGAAAGTCTTTACAAGACTAGGTAGAGTCTTGATTAGAAGCTGTTTTAGCAGAGTTTATATTTTCTTGTGTCTATAGATTGTCGAGAAGAAATCTTTAGTTTATCGAAGTGGGAGAACTCTTATTTCTTTTCAATCCTTATTCATGTTGTGCTGTACTCCAAGTTATTTTATTAAACAAACTGTTATCGAGCATAGCTAAACCCTAGGTGATGAACATTTTTCTACATGTTGTAATGATGTTGTACTTTTTCTTTAATGCATTGCTTTGATGATTTCTTTATTTTTTTGATATTAGGAAGCATTTATTCATTCGGGCCATTTTTGTGATACATAATAAAGCCTGAGAGGATAAATTTAAAGAATCGACTTAAGCAATAGAAATTAAAGAAGTTGATCGAGAGATATCTAGTTTAGTTTGTAAAATCTTATGGGTAGAGTGTTGTGTCCACACAACCGTGCCGACAACACGTGCAAGTATACACGAAATTGTCGATTGTAGTACGAAACGAGGTCGAATCCACAGGGACTTTGGATTATATTTTAAACGATGTTCACAGATACCAAAGTGTAAAACAAAGGAATATAGATGTTGTGTCGTAAACAAATCTCAGCAGAAGACACATTTCGTAGAGCTGATAACAAGAAGAAGAAACAACACAGAATACGAAAACGGGGAGTAAACAGATATGGGAAAGTGGAGGAGATTCAACATGCATTCATAGATCTATCAACCTACCCTCTAGCTCACAAATATTCGTTAATGCCAACTTTACTTGGTTCCCTTCCGAGACACCCGAACATGGATACGCACAACTCTCGTTGCTAAGTTTCCAAGCAATAAAAACAAGTTCTAGGCATGATTAGGGGACTTTATTCCCGAGAATCCATAAATACTATAGAAAAGTACTAATCACTAATGAAGCAAGTCAGCAAACCATAAGCCTTCCCGGGTCAATACAAAAGCTAGCATACAGAACAAAGTGGCCAACCATGCTCGATAAGATATAAGAAATAAATAGAGCTTCATTAAAAAACGAATATAGCAGCTACAGGTTCAGTTCATAGCAGTTGCAACATACGAATCTCCCCGAAATGGGGTTTAGCTCATAAATGAAGAAGAAAACACAATGGGTAAAAGAAGAAGACAAAATATCTGAGGGAAATAGCAGAAAATCGAATAAGAGGAAGATGACAGCTTGAAACTGCAGTGAACTATCCTTTCTGTTGTCAGCTTTCTGCCCCCTAAAAATGGAGAGAATCCTCCTCCTTGTCGTTTCAGCTCTAAAAAATGTGTTTATATTGGGATCTGTTTTTTGTGGCTAGGGCAACATGTCCCTTTTATATCGGGTTCCATTTTTAAGCCACCTAATTGAAGATTGTACGGACATGGTAAATTCCCGTGTTTGGCTGTTACTGCGCAGTAATTCCATGCTCCAGCATTGCTTCTCTCCAGCTTTCATCTGCTTTGCCTTGAACATGTTTCATCTACTCTTCTCTAGGCTYAGGACTCTCTTCATGCTTTGTCTTATTTTTCAAAACTGTGCATTTAAGCCAAAAAATAAGAGAGTTTAGCGCAATTTTTAGTCAAAGCATTCAAGACCTGAGACTTTATCTCAAAGTTCGGTTTATAAGATTTTCATCATGTGTAACAGCTAAAACCGAAACACTTTGACCTTTCTTTTTATAAAATCACTCAAATAATTACTAGAATAACTCTCCTTTGGAGAGTTATCACACCCCAAACTTAAAATCGTGTTTGTCCCCAAGCAAGAGCATGCATATTACCTCTACTCACAAAAGAAGAATGTTAGAAACCTGCACTTCAAACATCCAGCCCTATGCCTCAACCTTTCACTTTGATCAGCAATGCTAGAACTTACATACTCTGCTAAAAGAAATGAAGGCAGCCTATGTTTGTTCACACTCTGGAAGACGCTATTTCCTGCCTAACTTTAGCTTCTTTCTATTTCCCAACCTCAAGCTGAACTTCTCTTAAAGATTTCTTTCTCAAGCCTCTTTCACTAGCCTTAATCTTTAAACTTTGCACTACTAATTTGGGCTTCTTTAACCATGGGCTACTAGCCTTTTCTAATCCTGCAGCCTCTTTATACTTTGGATGTGGGCTACTAGCCCCTCCTTTATTGATGATGATGGTTTTTTTTAAAGGGCTGAATTACAGGATTAAAAATATTCATGGATGTATACAAATACTAATAAAGGTAAAAGAACTGAAAGTTCACTCCCCCAAACTTAAAAGGTTGCATTGTCCTCAATGCAACTAAGGATATCCTGAATGTAAATCACCAGCACACCCCCAAACTTAAAGCGAAAGTAATTGCGAAGTATAAGGATGTTCGCTATCAAGATATAGATATGGGTGTGGAGGGCTAATGCTACAACTAAGAGGATCTAATATCTATAGTCTTGGATAGATAGCCATGGAAATTCCTTCCAAGGGTAAGCACTACCTGAAGGCAGTACTACTAGAGGGATGCTAGGGCATGGGCAAGCAAACATGAACCAGAGGGAAAACAAAAGAAAGCTAACTCTCATTAAAATGCTCCAGCATCAACAGGAAAAAACTATACACTAGCAGGCTCTAGCATCAAGAGTATACACAAAGGGCAGGGCAAAAGGCAGATGTTGAGAACACAGGATTGCTAATAACTTTCTTTGTATCATTACTTTAAGAGGGGATTCACATTCACATAGTGAACTACAAAAAGAAAAATATGCAAAGACAGATTTGAAAGACAAAAATTTAAAAAGTAGAAATTAAAACTGAACTAAACTAGACTAAGGAAAGTAAAAAGTAACAACAACTGGGGGGGATGGGTCATTTTTTAGAGCAAAAAGTAAAGGAACTTCCCTCTCGCGAGTCAAGCATGTCAATGTTCTTTGCTTTCTATTCTCATCCAACGAGTTGGCCGTGGGCCGATCTTCCTCTCTGGATCAATTGTCTTTTTCTCTCTCTTTGCTGTCGGGGCATGCTCCTGTGAAATAACTGCAGCATACCTTTTCCCCTCAGTTGGGGAAATGAAAATTCTCTTTTTTAACTTTTTGTTTTACTTGGAAGTGGTGACTGGAGTTGCTTCCGCTTGCTTGATTTGTACCTTGGCCGATGACATGGAAGGTTTTGCCTTTTTATCTTTGATGCATGATGCTTCCAACTCTCTTTTTGGTCTTCTCATCCTTGCTTCTGAACCTTTTACAGTCGGTTTGATGTTAGGTGGCTCTTTTTCAGGTAATTTTTCCTGTTTTTCCTTTACAATGATGTGCACTTTATCCACCGAGGCTGTAAGGCTCTGTCTTTTATTGAGGGCACAAGATGCTGGAGCATCTACCTTCTCACCACTTGGTTGGCCCTCACTAGCTTCTACATATTGCGCTGGGGCATCTGACGGCTCAACATTTTTATACTCTTCTCCAGGTTCTGAGGTCTCTATCTTAGAGGCAGCATCTTCCTTTACCATCATCTCTTTATTCCCATCACCAAAACCTTCTTCAGCTCCAGCATCCCTACTTACACAATGCTCCAACATTGCTTCTGCATTCGTTTCCTCCATTAAAGCTTCATCCAAAATCTTCAACACTCAGCATTCTTCTTTTCCAGTAGGAAATTTCATGGAATCATAGATTGAGAACTTCTCTTCCTGATCTTGAACACGCATTGTTAGCTCGCCTTTTTGGACATCCACAAGCGCTCTTCCAGTTAAAAGGAATGGTCTTCCCAGAATGATAGGAACCTCCTTATCTGCATCATAGTCCAAAATAATAAAGTCAGCAGGGAAAATAAATTTATCTACTTGCACTAAAACATCCTCAATTTTTCCTTCAGGATATGTGATTGATCGATCTGCTAATTGCAATGTGACTGTTGTCGGCCGCGCTTCTCCCATCCCCAACTTCCTGTAAATGGATAAGGGCATGAGATTGATACTCCCTTCTAAATCGCATAACGCATGTCCTATCTTCTGTCCTCCAATGGAAATGGGTATGGTAAAGCTCCCAAGATCCTTCATCTTTTCCGGAATTTCGCTTGTGAGGATAGTACTGCAGGCCTTAGTCAATGTCACCGTTTCATATTTTCCCAACTTTATTTTCTTTGTGGGAATGTCCTTAAGGAAACGCACATAAGTCGGCATTTGATCCAATGCTTCCACTAGCGGTATGTTAACATACAGCTGCTTCAGCACATCAAGGAACTTTTGAAATTGCACATCCCGCTCTTTCTTTTGCAGCCGYTTTGGGTATGGTGGTACGGATCGATACTCGGGTGGAGCATTTTTATGTTCTGTCTGTTTTTGTTTTCCAGTCATATGTAGATGTGATGCTTCTGTTTTGGCTGCCCTAGCTTCTACTGGGTTGACCTCTTTGCTTGTGTTGCTTTGCAGGTCCATTATCTACTCGCTACTTTTCACTAACTGGCTGAAGTTTGCCTTTCTTTTAACTGACATGATTATAGGTGTTCCGGCTGACTCGCATTCTTCTGTTTGTGGCCCACTTATTTCATCTTGATTTAATTCTTTGTGGATTCCTAGAGCATTTGGATAGGTAGTAGGCAATGTCTTGCCACTTCTCAATGTCAGAGCATTACATTGCTCATTCTCATCCCTCTTGGGCACCTTAATATCACTAGGCAACGCTCCATTGGGTCTACTTTTCAAGTCTGTCGCTAGTTGGCCTACTTGCATCTCCAGATTCCTCAATGATGCTACCTGACTTTGTACCGTGGTATCATTATTTTCCATATACTGTTTCATCAGATTCTCCAAAGATGCGAATGATCCTTCAGATTGCCTCTGCACTGCTACCTAACCTTGGGTTGAGAAGCCTAGGGAATAACTTCTTTTTCGCTGCTATGCTGGAGCATTAGATTTTTACCAGCATTGTTTCCTCCGCAACATAAGTTAGGGTAGTTCCTTCAGTCCGGATTGTACGTATTGGAGTGTGGATCATTCCTACTATTCTGAGGATTATGCAAGTAGTACATCGACTCTGGATTGCTTGGGCAATTGTTGTAATGGTGATCTCCTTCGCAAAAAGAGTAAGAAATCCCTTGAATGTGGCTGATATTTGCTTTATCGGAAGATGCTCCCACTGTGCTTTGCTGGTCATGCTCAACATAACCAAGTTTGTCAGATTCTCAATCTTTGAATTCAATGCAAGAGTATGACTCGGATTCGTTCAGTCCCTTGCTTCCTATCCCTTGGATGGCTCTAGAGTCAGACCATGAATGATTGTTCGATGATATCTTCTCTAAGATATTGAATGCTTCAGCATAAGGTTTTGCTAGCAAAGCCCCATTTGTTGACGCATCGATGACAAGATGGGTGGCATCGTCCAAACCATTGTAATACGTTTCGATCTAGATGTATCTTGGGATCCCATGGTGAGGGCATTTTTATAGAAGTCATTTAAAACGTTCCAAAGACTCACTAATTGACTCCCCAACAAATTGCTTAAAATTGTTGATTTCGCTTCTGTACTTAGCATTTTTGCTTGGTGGTAACTACTTCATCAAAAAATTTTCAGCCAAGTCGTCCCAGTTTGTAATAAATTCTGAAGGAAGTGACTCCAACCAGGTYCTCGCTTCGTCTCTGAGTGAATAAGGGAACAACTTAAGCCGCAACACTTCTTTGCTACATCCTTCATCCTCAAACCAATTGCATACTCCCATAAAAAACTTCATATGCGAATGCGGGTCCTCTGTAGAATGTYCGTGAAACTGACCCACTGTCTGGAGCATCTGAAACATCACTGGCTTAAGTTCAAACTTTGGGGCTGCAATTTTAGGTTCCGTGATTACTGAGTTGAAATTATAAAATGCTTGAGCTGCATACGCCTTGATTTCTCTGTCAATGTCATCTGCTAGTAATACATCATTGAGAGGGGGCACTACTACCTCAGGGTCAGCAGTAATAGGAACCCCATCTACTATTTCCTCAATCCTCACATTCGGTGGAATAGGCTGGAGCAAAGGTGGGTTAGGCAGATTCATATTTGCTTCAGCTTGGGTTCTCCTTTATTCTCTTTGATTCCTATGGAATGTGCGTTCTATCTCGTGATCTATAATATATTTCAAGCTCTCGAAATTGTTCATGCACCTACAACCATACAAAAATGTGAGAAAGAGAAAACTCGATTAAGCACCATATCTAGTAACACTATTATTAAAAATAAAATCACTAAGAAATCACTAAGTCCCTGGAAACGTCACGAAAAACTTGTTGTGTCCACACAACCCTGTTGACAACATGTGCAAATATACATGAGATTGTCGATTGTAGTACGAAACGAGGTCGAATCTACAGAGACTTTGGATTACATTTTAAACGATGTTCACAGATACCAAAGTGTAAAACAAAGAAATATAGATGTTGTGTCGTAACTTAAACAAATAAAATAAACAAGCAGTAAACAAATCTCAGCAGCAGACACACTTCGTAGAGCTGATAACAAGAAGAAGAAACAGCACAGAATACGAAAACGGGAAGTTAACAAGTATGGGAAAGTGGGGGAGATTCAACATGCATTCATAGACTTATCAACCTACCCTCTAGCTCACGAATATTCGTTAATGCCCAACTTGACTTGGTTCCCTTCCGAGACACCCGAACATGAATACCCACAACTCCCGTTGCTAAGTTTCTAAGCAATAAAAACAAGTTCTAGGCATGATTAGGGGACCCCATTCCTGAGAATCCACAAATACTATAGAAAATTACTAATCACTAATGAAGCAAGTCAGCAAACCATAAGCCCTCTCGGGTCAATACAGAAGCTAGCATACATAACAAAGCGGCTAACCATGCTCGATAAGATATAAGAAATAAACAGAACTTCATTAAAAAAATGAATATAGCAGCTAGAGGTTCAGTTCATAGCAGTTACAACATGTGAATCTCCCCCGAAATGGGGTTTAGCTCATAAATGAAGAAGAAAACACAACGGGTAAAAGAACAAGACAACCTATCTTTGGGAAATATCAAAAAAACCGAAGAAGAAGAAGATAACAGCTCTAAACTGCAGTGGAATATCCCTTTTGTCATCAGCTTTCTGCCCCCGAAAAATGGAGAGAATCCTCCTCCTTGTCGTTTCAGCTCTAAAAAATGTGCTTCTATTGGGATCTGTTTTGGATCCATTTTTAGGGCACCCGACTGAAGATTGTACGGACATGGTAAATTCCCATGTTTGGCTGTTACTGCACAGTAATTCCATGCTCCAGCATTGCTTTGCTCTAGCTTTCGTCTGCTCTGCCTCCAACATGCTTCATCTACTCTTCTCTCGGCTTAGGACCCTCTTCATGCTCTGTCTTCTGTTTCCAAACCTGTGCATTTAAGCTAAAAAATAAGAGAGTTTAACGCAATTTTTAGTCAAAGCATTCAAGACCTGAGACTTTAGCTCCAAGTTTGGTTTATAAGATTTTTCATGATGTGTAAGAGCTAAAACCGACATACTTTGACCTTTATTTGTATAAAATCACCCAAATAATTACTAGAATAACTCTCTTTTGGAGAGTTATCATAGAGCAATATAGGAGAAGGTTACTAAAAAAAAAGATATAAAGATATGACACTGTTTAGGAACTACTCCATGGAGTTAATTTCTCAAATTTACATCATTCAGTATAGTTAGTTAGCATGCTACAACCTTGGTGTCCTCATTGTGTGTCAATATCAGCTTTTGTTTTAATTTTTTTATGGTTTACTGTTTTTTTTTTTTAATTTCATTATATAAAATCAATATTTTTAGCCATTGTTCTAAAATCAATTCACTTGGTCTTTATGAAGTCATTGAGAATACCATACTTGGAATATTTCCTTTATTACATTTGTAGGATGCCCTGTGCTTGTAAATATATTAGTTTGTATCAAGTTTTTTGGCGCTGTTATTGGAGACTCCTTTTAGAGAACTAACATATTTATTTTTAATACCGTGCTACAAAACTATGATTTACACTCTTTTGACTAACTTATTTTTGTTGATCTTATTGGCTTTTGATAAGTAATGTATGTGCAATAGAGCACCGGTATATTTTGCGCTTGAGATTGAAAGCACTTTGAGGTAGCAAAGAAGAGCTTTAATAAATCGTAGAAGACATGGGTGATAGTAAATACATGGGTGATAATAGAAGGGAGAATCCTTATGTGATTCCACCTGAAAATTCTGCCCAAAAATTGAGAGTACAACCATTGTAGAATTATAATCACGTGAAACAATCAAAATAATCTCATTTAATGGCAGATGATGGAAGATCAAGATGCATGACAGATTATGCAATGCAAACATTTAATAATTTGAATATTGGGATTGCAAGATCAACCATTGAGGCAAATAATTTTGAGCTTCAACAAGTGATGTTCAAAATATTGCAGACCATGAGGCAATCAAGAGGTTGCCTTGCTGAAAGTCCACACTTTCACTTAAAGCCCTATATCGAAGTGTGTTACTCATTCAAGATCCATTGAGTGACCGATAAAGCACTAAGACTGAAGCTATTCTCTTATTATTTGAGTGATGACGCAAAGGTTTCGTTGATCTCATTACCTGAGTGTTCTATCACTTCATGGACAGATTTTCTAGAGAAATTTTTGCTGAAATATTTCAAACAAAAGAAGAATGCCCGCTACGTGAATGGTATTGTTCTTTCATCATAAGTCCATCAAGCTTGAAGAATTTGCTGCTAGTTGAGAGAATTGCTACTAGTTAGGTCCAGAAAATCCCCAAGGGAAATTTGCCTTTTGCTAAAATTAATTCGTATCAGATTGCCATGAGTTTTTTCCATAGTTTCCTCCCCAACTGAAATTAGGGTGCTACCTCCATCTATATGTGGGAATAAAGATTGTTCCTATTCACGTTCTTGTTTCCCAAATAGTATACAGAGGCTGGGCTCGTTGAGCATGAGTCAAAATTGTGCTCATCTATACACTTAGAATGAGATATATTGCGTGAATATTACTGACAATATCATTTGCACGTGGTGCTCTAGCAATTGTCATCATTTTCATCATACTAGCTAAGGCTAATATCTATGCATTAATCGACATAAAAGCATCAACCTCAAGTATGCTGGAAATGGCAAATGATCCAACCGCCAGACAGAGCAGAAACACACATACTAAAAATTTATTAGCAGATCTCGATGACAACTTTTAATTAAACACATTTTTAATAAACTAAGATGGATCAAATCTCTTACCTTTTTAATCTTTCCAACTATCCTCGATCTACGATGAACTTTGTGTGTGGGAACATTTTTAGAGATAAGAGAATAACACCTTATTTTTTGGTGGCCTACTAGGAAATGGAAAGAGTTACTTTTGCATGCTTTAGGATTTTGCCTATAAGTCTCTTTATATATAGACTTTGGGGCAAAACCCTAATGAACTAACTAATT